CAGAGCGTATGCAACCAATCTGACACCCTCTTCTGGCATAAAGGTGTACATGCAGACAGAGAACATTAAATAAACAAATAAATCTTTAAAAATGAAAGAGATGTGTGACTAAGAACACTTGCTGCTCTTATAGAGGACCAAAGTTTGAGCCCCAGTACCCACAAACACTCCCAACAGTCTGTAAACTTCAAAACATGGCATTTGAAGCACTCTTCTGACCTCCCAAGGTTCTGAACTCACAAGATAGCATGAACATACACACAGGCAAAATACTCATGCACATAAAATAAAAAATATTTAAAAGGACTCATTAAAGACAAATATCTATGTATGCATATATATTATAGACAAACATGTATGTCTACAAGGAAGATAGTTATAGATTGTGTTAAGCTCAATGAAGGAAATATTCGGATCATGAAAAGATAACCAGGAGAAAGATTCCTTGGCACACGAAGGGCAGCAATGAGTCAGCTGAGGCAAGAACATTCTGAGAGGAAGAAACAAATACCAAGTCCAGGATTGGGAGAAGTCTCAAGCTCTTCAAGGCAATACTGCCAATTTCTGAACCAGGAAGATTGGAAATAGAACCACAAGATAGGGATGGAATTAAAGTTGTGTGTTTACTTTAAAGGAATTAAATATAAACTTATTTATCAGTGTTTTCTAAACAAGAACACGGGAAAGGATGTGCCGCAGTGTGTTCCATGAAGACATAGAGCCGCCTGTCCACCGTGTTCTTTGCTAAGACATACTTGGAAGCTCAGCACTGTTTTTGTACAGTGAAGTTTTCCTTAAATGACACTCACTTTCCTTATATATCTATTTTTTTCTTTTCATCCCTCTGAAGCACTTTTCCTTACCATAATCAGTTTTTACAACTTGAAAATGTAAAATTTATTTTGCCATAAGTCTCTTATTTCATTTTCATCAATGAAAAAGTGCGATGAAAACTGGGCATAGTGGTGTGCACTTTTAATCCCAGCACTTGGGAGGCGGAGGCAGGTGGATCTCTGTAAATTCAAGGTAGCCTGCTCTACAAAGCAAGTTCCAAGACAGCCAGGACTATGGAGAGACCTTTACTCAGCCTAGCCCCCCAAAAGAAAGCACAATGAAACAAATTATAAGAACCCTGGATGGGCAGAATGTATTCTAAATGTTTACAGTTACTCCGTGGCTTTTTGTCTAAAAGCAAATGCAGATATTATAAAAGAGGGAGAAGACAGGAAGTAGGCAAAGCGTCGGCAATTGGACTGCCCTGCTGAAAAGTAAGAGCAATGACGCATGGTAATTGGAGATCCCTGTCACAGTTAGTTCAGCAAGGCCAGGATGTCCTAGGGATTTCTTACCTGCATAATTCCACTTATAAATGTTAGACCACCTTGCAGGAAATGTCCATCAACAAATATCCCAAACGAGAAGCAGCAACCCCATTTGCCGTCAATTATTTCACCAACAAACCATGGTCCTGAGAGAGGAATGGGCAGAAAAGCAGGACATTAAAAAACTATGAATCTTTCCAGGCATGGTGGTGTATGTTTTAATCCCAGCACTCAGGAGGCAGAGGCAGATGGATCTCTGTGTGTTTGAGGACAGCCTGGTCTACAAAGCAAGTTCCAGGACATCCAGGGCTACATAGAGAAACCCTGTCTTGAAAAATGAAACAAACAAACAAAAAACCTATGGGTCTAGGCCAGTGTGGTCACTTAGTGGGTTCGGGCACCTGTCACTAAGCCTGACCACCTGAGTTCAGTTCCTGAGACACACACAGTGGAAGGAGAGAACTGACTCTTGCAAGTTGTCCTCTGACTGCCAAATACACACTGTGGCACATGTGCCCACACATATAGCCATGCACAGAAAATAAAATATGGTGGTTTGAGAGAAGGTGGCCTTTCAAGGGAATGGCACTATTAGGAGGTATGGCCTTGTTAGGTAGGTAGGTATGGTTTTACTGAAAAAAGTGTGTCACCGTGGAGGTGGGCTTTGAGGTCTCGGATATGCTCAAGCCATGCCCAGTGAGACAGACCGCCTCCTGTTGTCTGCTGGTCAAGATGTAGGACTCTCAGCTCCATCACCATGTCTGCCTGCACACTGCCACGTTGCACCATGATAATGAACTAATCCTCTGGAACTGTAAGTTTCCCCATTAAATGTTTTCCTTTAAAAGAGTTGCTGTGGTCCTGGTGTCTCTTCACAGGAACAGAAGCCCTAACTAAGACAGAAGTTGGTACCAGGAGTGGAGTACTGCTGTGATGGCTTTGTTGGGAGGAATATGAACTTGGGGAATTCGGGTTAGGAAAGCATAATGCTTTAAGAGCTGTTTAATGGGCCATCCTAGTAGGGATATGGAATACAGTGGTGCTGAGTGTGATTTGAACTGTGGGTGCCTGGACCAAGAGGTTTCAGAGAAGAAGAATGAAAATATGTAGCCTAGAGATTGTTCTTGTGATATTTGGGTAAAGAATGTGGCTGCTCTTTGCTTTTGTCTGGAAAATCTGCCTGAGGCAAGAGCTTTGGATTAATTCCATTGGCAGAGGGAAATCTCAAAACAGCCTAGGATAGACTCTGTCACGTGGTTACTAGTGGTAACTCTGATAAAGATTTATAATGAAAAGGAGCAAGCTGAGCAAATAAAAATACAAAACATACAGATTGAGAAAAGGGGCACCAGGACGTGGAATAGAGCTGAATCCTGTGTTTAAGGAGATAAACGGATTAAGAAATGGAATAAAGGGAGTGGTGACCTCAGAGCAAATTCCCACTCAGCTAAATTAAAGAAAAACTCGAGCCTGACGTGGTGGTGCACGCCTTTAATCCAGCACTTGGGAGGCAGAGGCTGGCGGATCTCTGAGTTTGAGGCCAGTCTGTTCTACAGAGTGAGTTCAAGAACAGCCAAACTTAGACAACAGAAGATTAAAAACCTTATGAGCATGATAGTCTTTCCAGAATTTACAAGCCACATGCCTATTTCAAGTACATCATAGACTGATAGGATTTCATAATCCAGAAAACTGTAGAGAAAATAGCTGGTTTTTATTTTTTGGCTTTAAATTTCACTTTTATTTCTTTAAGTCTTAGTTGGGGCTTCTATTACTGTGAAGAGACACCTTTATAAGAACAATTTTTAAAAAGGAAAACATTTAATGGGGAGGTTTACAGTTTCAGAGGTTTAGTCCCAGAAAATGATTTATGAGGAACTCATATGCCACTTGTTATACCTGGAATATAAATTATTTGGTTGCCAAAATTCTCAATATATTCTTTAGCAGAATTCTCTAAAATCTCGGAGTTTATCCTTTACTTACCAAGCACTGTGTATAAAGTCAGCAACAACACAGAGTAGTAGAAGATGTTAATTTTAGTCAATATATGAAGGGAAAATGTGGTCATATTTGCAAATCCTGGAGGCTCTAAACAGAAGAAAAGAATTAAAAACCTGGTAAACACATGCAAAATTAATTTCTCTAAACCTTTTCTAGAAGATTTTCCTTCTACTCTAACACTAATATATTGAATTCTCATATAGATTATGAGTTTAAATGACAGACACACTTGCCAGAGGTCTACAGTATGCTCTTTATCCTCGGGTAGATCTGAAAGATTCTGCCATGTTCAGAGGATGATCAATCAAGCTATGACTCTTTTCCATAGGATTCAGTATTCAAGCAGTGCACAGACTTCTAAAAGCTATATCAAATATAAGTATTTTCCATGTATACGACACGTTCTCACTTCACACAGCCCTCCCCATCAGTGGACAGACAATACACACCTAGGGACAACTCATGGAAGGACACAGAAGGAAGAAGGCAGCCATTTGCAAGGCAAGGAGAGAAGCCCTTGCTTCCGGGGTGGGGAGTCTTGATCTTGGACTTTTAGCTATAGGATTTTGAGAAAATGATTTTGCTGTGGTTTGGGCCAACTATGGTATGCTTCTATTTAGGGCCTAACAAACTAATATACATCTTTACTTTAAAAATGTGCTCATAATTCTGTTCAAATACTTTGAAACTAGATTCTTTGAATCTTTTTTATTCATATATAATTAGTCACATATTAATCATATACCATATATTATTCATATATTACTTCCTGACTGCAGTTTCCCCTCTCTCTACTCCTCCCAGTTCCCCCCCCACCACCTCCCCTCCCTGGATGGCCAGTAACCAGAGGTTGGATATCCCTGAGACCTAGAATAGAACCAAACACAACTGGTAGAAAAGAAAGTTAATGAAATAACTCCTAATGATATTCCACTATACTCATAGATTCCTTGTATCTTAAAAGGAACACATTTCTTTTAAGCCAGATAGCTGAGAAGGTGGGCTGTAGCTATTAAAGTAATCAATCAGTCAGGAAGAATATGCTGATATGTAATTTTAATGCTATTTTAAAATTAGTAATACAACCTTAACCCTCCAAGATTTAAACGTTAACAGAAAAGCTCTATGAATCCAGTCCAGAGGCTAGCTCTTGCTTCTCTCTTTTGGATGTGACATAAAATAGTACTCTCTAACCTGGTTGCTTTAGAATCACCTAAACACTTAGGAGTGGATTTCCATGCTGCTGCTCCTATACTCCAATCCAGTTAGGTTAAATTGACCTAGGAATCTATATTTTTAATGTCCTTAGGTGATTCTTCTTTTCCTTTTCTTTCATTTTTTTTGTTTTGTTGTTGTTTTGTTTTGAAATTCTTACTCTGTATTGCCGTCTGATCCCAAACTCACTATATAGCCCAGGACATCCTTGTGTTCATGGTAATCTTTCTGCCTTAGCCTCTTGGGTGGTAGGATGACAGCCATGAGCCACAGCACACCTTGCTTGGGCCAGACTAAGTCATCAAGAATGCAAGGAGGACAAAAGGCTGTCCTCCACCCTCTCACTACAGCCTAAGCAGAAGCAGATCAGGACCAAGTAAGATCGCAGTAAAGGATGGAAACAGTTGGAAATCAGGGAGAAAGGTTAGCTAGTTGCAGATCCATGTTTCAGCTCTGTAAACCAATAATCAGCATTAGGACTTTGATAGGAACATGTTTATAAACAGTTTCACTAGGAAAAGCAAGAGTGGAAACACAGATGACCCTTTTGTTTAAACACACTCCTGGGGCGCTTCCAAGAGTCACTAAAGGCACACTCTCCAGGGCTGTTGCCCAGCGCGACTGACAGCATATTATCTAGGAAGAAGTAAGCAACAATTATGGCAGGTACCAAGGAGGCACACAGAATCTTTCTCCTGTCTTGAGACTGGCCTCTAACTCTAGATCCTCCTCTCTTCACCTCTCTTGTGCTGGGATTCTATGCACATGACACTCAGCGTGGTGGCATGTTGAGTCTCCATGACTTCCTTAACAAGGGTGACATACATCTGCTATGCTCAAGGCATCAAGGTAGGTGTTAGCATATGTGTTATTTAGGATGGGTGTTAAAAACGACAGACACAGGTAATCACCCTTCAGGAGTCTGAGATGAGACAATTGTAACACCAGATCATTTCCTCCAGTGAAGGAAATGGTTAAGAAGAGAAGGGGAAAAAAGTCTGGTTAGGATGTGGGACTTTCTCGCTCACTGTCCTCATTTGAAAATTCACCTTCTAATAGTATTAATAATGATCAATTAATTCTCATTATTCATCACTATATTACAGAGACAGCACAGGGAAAGACATCTCTCAGGAGAGGTAGCGAGCACCACAGGCAGTCACCCTCATAGCGACTCCATAGCCTGCTGGGGGTGTCATTCAGGATTACACATTGCACCGCTTAAATTTTACCCCCTCCCCAACTTTTGAGACAGAATGTCACTGTGTGGTCCCAGCTGGCCTTGAACTCACGGAGATTCATATGCCTCTGTCTCCTGAGTTCTGGGATTAAAAGCATGTGCACTATGCCCAGCCAAATTCTTCCAAGGTTGTATTAGTGCCTTATTTTTAATTGTTTGAATTAATTTTTTTCTATTCAAAAATATTTTAAACATAAACTTACATTAAATAGCTATTTATAAAAACAACTACTTAAATTAAAAGTTGGCCATTTTGAGTTATATTGTGAATTTGCCATATTTTGATTAAATCACATTTTATTGCCATATACTGGGGAGGGAAAGAATTATTTTTCAAGATAAATATTACAGAAAAAATAATGGTCATCTGAAGAATGCACCTCACAGAGTGCAATGAAGACAGTTTACACTGCTTTGTATCTTTGCTAATGAGAGTGTTATGGGAAACTTTCAAGTCCTCTGAGAACAAAGGGAATCATGGGTACTGACCTTTAAGCTCTGGGTATGGTAGATATCTGAATGTAATCAGGATGGTGAGCTGGGTCAGCACAAGCAACACAAACAGGACCCGGGCCTGCAGAGAAAGAGACGCTGATGTGAGCAGATATGCTGCCACAGCTCCAGGCGAGGCTTTTAAACTGGCTTCATCAACAAAAATGTAAGTGACATAGTAAGAAATATGCATTTTAATCTATAAATTCCTTGCTAATAACTCCTAAAACCTTTATAATTTTATAAATGATAACAGGAAATAGTAGAATGCTTCCTCATAAAATACTTGGTTGTAGCCCCCGGTTCCTCAGACAGCTCTGGGGTGATGAGCAGAAGGAATGTCACCTGTGATTAATAAGAAGCTTTAGAAAGCCACCAAGGATAGGGGCTAGTTGCTAGATGGACCAGCTAAGCGCTGAGGGCTGGCACTGTGTCCTTATACCATTCCCCTTTGTTCTCCAGGGGAAAGGGCGTTGAATTCATCACTAAGGGCCAATAAATTAACCAACCAGGCCTACACAGTGAAACTTGCATAGAAACCCTGGCTGAAGGGTTCCAGAGACGACTGGTGACTAGCAGGAGTGCTGGGTGTGGCATGTGCCTCATAGGATGTGGACGTTCACATTCAAGCCTCTTCCCTGCCTCTCTTCTATCTGGCTGATACTGAATTTTATCCCTAAATAATAAACCAGTAATAGTAAGGAAACTGTCTTCCTGTGTTCTGTGAGCCATTCTAGAAAACTACTAAACCCAAGAAAGGAAGTCTTAGGATCCTCCAATTTACAGCTAGCGCATCTGAAGCACGGGACATTCTGGACCTGACTACTGTGAGGAGGGAGGGAGGAAGGGAGGAGGGCTGAGCCTTTAGCCTGTGGGATCTACACTATTTCTTAGTAGTCGTTATGAGAATTGAGTTAAATTCTAGAACACCCCAATCAGCTTCCATGGAGAACTAGAGAACTATTTAAGCCAGAAAGCCCCACACATTTGGTATTTGAAGTGTGTGAAGAAGGGGAAACAGGGTTTTGTTTTTAACATCAACAACAAAATACTCTGTAATAAAAAATGTGGTTAAAGAGAACTAAATAAATATCTGATTAACTGATAATATCATGAACTGCTCAGTATTGCTTTTTCTCAATTTACTTGAACCAATATTCGAGGTTCATTATACCTGAAGAGTAATCTGTTTATTTAAAGTTGGATTTGGGGCAGGGGTAAATTGTATACCACAGGGTTAAATAAACAGAGAATGCACTTTCTCTCTCTCTCTCTCTCTCTCTCTTTGGTTTTTCGAGACAGGGTTTCTCTGTTCTGGAACTAGCTCTTGTAGACCATGCTGGCCTCGAACTCACAGAGATTTGCCTTCTTCTGCCTCCCAAATGCTGGGATTAAAGGCATGCACCACCACCACCCAGCTGAGAATGCACTTTCTGACTTCAAAAAAAGAAGTCATTGATTTAGAACAGCTCCTAAGAAAAGACATGCAGTCTGGGAACTTGTTTCTCAGTGTAACTCCATTACAGACCATCACTGGAATCACCTTAAGCCTATGTGGAATGAATGCAGGGTCTCAGACTCACAGAATCGCACCTGCAATTAGTAATATTCCCAGTGGTTCATACACGCACCCAAACTGCCAAAGCTTCATCTAAGTAGCAACTAAAAATCTCCCAAAGATCACTCTGGTTAAGTCTTTGGCTAAGATAAATATCTGTTCTTATCAGTTTAAGAATCTCCCAAATAAGCCAAGCAGTGGTAGAACACACCTTTAAACTCGGGAGGCAGAGGCAAGTGGATCTCTGTGAGTTCGAAGCCAGCCTGGTTTACAAGAGCTAGTTCTAGGACAGGCTCCAGAGCTAAAGAAAAGCCAAAAGAAAGAGAGAGAGAGAGAGAGAGAGAAAGAAAGTCAGTCTTCCAAACAATTGGGGCAGTGGGGGCAGCGGCCCCACATGCCTTTGATCCCAGCACTAGGGAGGTAAAAGCAGATGGATCTCTGAATTCAAAAAACTTTAAATTAATGAAAAAACCATCATCCAAAAATTGTAATGATGAAATGCAAATACCCATTATTCATTTTTTTCAAAAAGCACAATTATGCATGTAATAAAAGCAGATTGAACTGTGTGGTGGTGGCTCACATCTTTGATCCCAGCACTCGGGAGGCAGAGGCAGGCGGATCTCTGTGAGTTCGAGGCCAGCCTTGTCTACAAGAGCTAGTTCCAGGACAGGTTCCAAAGCTACAGAAAATCCCTGTCTTGAAAAGTAAAAAAAAAAAAAAAAAAAAAAAAGCAAATTGAAAAAAAAGAAACAAATTATTTAAATATTATGTATGTAAGTGTATACCCTAAAGCTATTTGGGGAAAGTAAACTTAAGGAAGGTTTCAATTATCCTCAACATTTTACTCTGTATCATTTGTGTGTGTGTGTGTTGTGTTAATGTTCATGACAAAGAAGATTTCATGGAT